CCAGTTAGAATGGCGATCATTAAAGTCAGAAGAAAACAGATGCTGAGAGGATGTGGAGAAATAGGAACACTTTTACACTCTTGGTGGGAGTGTAAATTAGTTCAACCATTGTGGAAGACAGTGTGGCAATTCCTCAAGGATCTAGAATTAGAAATATCATTTGACTCAGCAATCCCATTACTGGGTATACGTCCAAAGGATTATAAATCATTCTACTACAAAGACACATGCACCTATATGTTTATTGCAGCACTGTTCACACTAGCAAAGACTTGGAACCAACCCAAATTCCCATCAATGATAGAATGGATAAATAAAACATGGCACATATACTCCATGGAGTGCTATGCAGCCATAAAAAAGGATGAATTCATGTGCTTTGCAGGGACATGGATGAAGCTGGAAAATCTGGAAAATCATTCTCAGCAAACTAACACAAGAACAGAAAACCAAACACTGCATTTCTCACTCATAAGTGGGAGTTGAACAATAAGAACACATGGAACAGGGAGGGGAACATCACACATCCATGCCTGTCAGGGGGTGGGGACCTAGGGGAGGGATAGCATTAGGAGAAAGACCTAATATAGATAACAGGTTGACAGGTGCAGCAAACCACCATGGCACATGTATACCTATGTAACAAATCTGCACATTCTGCCTATGTGTCCCAGAACTTAAAGTATAATCAAAAATAAATAAAATAAAATAAAAAAATAATAATTTGTTAAGTGTTGGATAAATGCCATCTCCCATGGATAAGTTTCCTAAGTAAGAAAAATCAAACATGCTCCAAGATAAGAGACACGAAACCAGAAAATAAGTCACAATGGGCCTTATTAGTTTTTTAAATGATCATTTATAAAGCTTTCCTTCTATGATCAAGAACAAGACAAAGAAATCCATTCTCAACACTTATATTCAGTGTTACACTGAAAGTTCTAGCTGGAAAAATCAGAGAAGAAAAAGAAATAAAAGGCATCCAAATAATACAGGATGAAGGGAAGTAGTCTTTGTTTGCTAATAACATAATTGTATGGGTAGAAAACCTAATACCACCACCAAAATAAATAGTTAAAACTGATAATTCAGTAAAGTTGAAGGATACACAACTCACAAAAATCAGTAGTATTTATTTACACTAACAACAAACCATTTGAAAAAGAAATCAAGAAATCAATCCCATTAACAATAGTATTAAAAAAATACTTGGAAGTAAATTTAACCAAGGATTTAAAAGATCTGTATATTGAAAACTAGAAAACAATGATGAAAGAAATTGCTGATAACACAGATAAATAGAAAAGTATCCCATGCTCATGGACTGGAAAAATTAATACTGTTAAAATGTCTATATTACCAAAGGAATATACAGATTAAATGAATCCCTATCAACAATCTAATGTCATTTTTCATAGAAATAAATGTTAAAAATCCTAAAATTTTTAAGAAAGCACAAAAGACGTTGAAGAGTCAAAGGTATCCTGAGTGAAAAGAACAAAACTGGAGGCATCATGTTAGCTGACTTCAAAATCTATTATAAAGCAAAGCTATAGCAAACAAAATGGCATATTACTGGCATAAAAACAGACACATTGACCAATGGAACAGGGAAGAAAGCCCAGGAATAAACCCATACAGATGGTCAATTTGTTTTCAACAAAGGTACAAGAATACGGAATGGAGAAAGTACAGTCTCTTTAATAAGTTGTATTGGGGAATCTAGATGTCCACATGCAGAAAAATAAAATTGGACCCTTATCCCATGCAATGCTCATGCACAAAAATCAACTCAAAATGAATTAAGACTGAAAAGTAAGCCCTGAAACTATGAAAGGAGTAGGAAGAAATCACTTAGAAATGCTCCGTGACATTGGTCTGGCCAAGATTTCTGTGATATGACCCCAAAAGCACAGGAACAAAAGCAAAAATAAATAAATGGGATTGCATCAAACTAAAAAGCTTCTGCACAGCAAAGGAAACATTAAAGAAACAGCACGTGGATTGGGATAAAATATTTGCAAACGATATATCTGATAAGGAGCTAATATTGAAACTACATAAGAAATTCAACTTAGTAGCAAGAAAACAACTCAATAAAAAATGGGCAAAGGACCTAAATAAACACTCTCAAAAAAGGACACACGAATGGCCAATAGATATATTAAAAATTGCTCATCATCACTGATTATCAGGAAAATGCAAATTAAAACTATATAATGAGATACTATCTCACACAAGTCAGAATGGCTAATATCAAAATGATGGGAGATAAGTACCCGTGAGGGTGTGAAGTAAAGGGAACCCTTATGCTCTGTTGGCATGACTATAAATTAATACAACCATTATGGAAAACAATATGGAGCCTCCTCAGAAAACTAAACATAGAACTACCATAAAACCCAGCCATCCCACTCTAGGTACAGAGCCAAAGGAGTTGAAATCAGTATGCTAAACAGGTATCTTCACTCATGTTCCCTGCAGCATTACTCACAACCACTAAGATGTGGAAGCAATTTTGGTGTCCATCATCAGAGGAAAGGAAAAAGGGAACGTGGCATATACCTGCAATGAAAAACTATTCTGCTTTGAAAAGGGGGAAAGTTCTGTTATTAGTGACAACATGGATAAACCTGGATGATATTATGCTGTGTCATATCATTTATAGATTGTGAAAGAAAACAGATTCTTGGGACCCAGACTCACTATACCAGAGGGAAAGTTAAGATTGGGAACTGAATCACACAAAAAACTGCCTTTGTTTCTTTTCCCCATCAAACAGATAGCTACAAAGATAGAAGGCCACATCTCTCCCCTATGCCCTACTTCACAAATTGCTCACAATCCCTTGTGGGACCCAGCTCTTTCAATATATATATCCGGCCCTACAAAATAGCCTTAGTACAGAGTTTTGCTGAATCTCACCCTAACAATATAAATTAACAGCTTATATCTTCACAGGCAGGGGACAAGGACAATAGAAAATAATCCCTCTGCCCACCCTGAGACATATGCATAACTGACTTCTATTTTATCTCAAGTAAAATGTAGATTTACTGAATATAAGAGGAATGCGTAATTGACTATTCCTCTTTTCCTTTTCACATATAAAATGTAGATTCACTGAGCATTAAGAAAGCCTCACTATGTGACCACTTGCCTCACTACCTGCCCTCCCCGCTCTTTTTTTCTCTCTTCTTCCCCTCCTCCTCACTCTTTCCCTTTTACATACTGGAGTCCTCGAAACCGTCTTTGGAAAAGGCAGAGATCACAGATGCTCCTCTGATTTGTATTTTTTCCCAGGTGCGGCCCCAACCTTGCCAAAATAAACATCTAAATTGAGACCTGCCTCGGTCATTTTTTTGGCTTACATTTGTGGAATCTAAAAGAGTCAAACTCAGAAGTAGAGGGCAGGATGATAGTTACCAGAGGGTGGGGGATGGAAAGTTTAGGGAAATGGGAGATGCTCATCAAAGGGTACAAGTTCCCGTTAGCCAAGACAAATAAGCTTTAGTAAGCTACTGAGCAGAATGGTCACTACAGAATAGTGCATTGTAGATTCCAAAATGGCTAAAAGAGGAAATTGTAAATGTTTTTACCACATCTACAAAATAAGTATGTGAGGCGATAGATGTGTTAATTAGCCAGATTTAATCATTCCATAATGCAAGCATATATCAAAACATCACATTGTACCCCATAAGCATATACAATGATTGTTTATTTAAAAAAATATATATGTATGTATATATATGTATGTGTATATATGTGTGTATATATGTATGGGTATGTATACATGTGTGTATATATCTATGTAAATATACATGTATATGTGTATATATATGTATGTAAATATATATGTATGTGTGTATATATATGTAGAGAGAGAGAGAGAGACAGAGAAAGATGGAATCTTACTCCATCACCCAGGCTGGAGTGCAGTGGCATGATTTTGACTCACTGCATCCTCCACTCCCCAGGTTCAAGAAATTCTCCTGCCTCAGCCTCCCAGTAGTCAGGTTTACAGGCACCCCCTACTACACCTGGCTAATTTTTGTATTTTTAGTAGAGAAGGTATTTCACCATCTTGTCCAGGCTGATCTTGAACTTCTGACCTCATGATCCACCCACCTAAACCTCCCAAAGTTCTGGGATTACAGGCATGAGCCGCTATGACCAGCCACTAAAAATATTTTTTAAATGCTCCTTTATTAAAAGGTAGAAATTATAGTGTATAAAATTTATTTTCCTAAAAGAAATTACCAGCCGTTTCTAAGTCCACCCCATGTGCTTAAATGGTCTTAATAAAACAAGCAATTGCATTCCTAAGAAAGGAAGTTAGGCTAATATTTACATAGAGTTTTTCTGTCTTAGTGAAAAGTAACAGAAAGAAAGAGAAAATCCTAGACATTTATTTATATACATCAGGCCTTTATTCTGTGCTTCAAGGAAGCAGCTTCCCCTTCAGTTGGTGTCGTCCCTCCTTCAGAGCTGTTCTTTCAATGAATACTATTTCCTGCTTCTCTCTCCTCAATTTCTTAAGGCACAAAGTTCTTGTTAAATCTGCCCCCTTTCATGTAAAGCTAAAATACAAATTAAAATTGCATATCTTTCCAGAGAAGGTTTTAGGAATAGAAAACAAGTTATTTTGGGCAATTGCCCTCCCAGAATCTTCTGGCATCTCACATAGGTTAATCATGGTAAAATGTGACAATGATCAATACTTTTGTTCCAACTGAAAAGAGGCAGTATCAACGAGGGAGCTGGCAGGGAAGAGGAAGTTACTTCTGAACGGAGCACTGCTTTGCATAGTTCTAAGCAAATAGGTCCTCTGGTTCAGAGGCTGAAACACACATATTGTACTCCAATTTCAGAGCTGTTTTCTCATTTAGGTTTTGATAATGAGATTTCAAACCCCACAGAGGTGTTGGTGAGACAGACATCTGGCAAAGCTGATCATTTTTAATTTAATTTGTACAGTGAGCAGACTAAGATCCTACCTTTTGTCCCTGTACATCTGTGGTGATGTGGTCGGCTTCCCCATTCTCAATCTCCCCCATCTTCACGACACTGACTTCAATGGTGCCAACCACTTTGCCACCATCTGAAGTTCTGCAACAAAAACACATGAAATGGAATGGTAAGAAGCTTCTGTCTCCCCAGAAATACCCAAAACACATTTGTTTCTGAAAACCACTCGCATTGCTACTTACTTAATAACAAAATCGGCATAAAACACAGCAAAACATGTTAATAGGGTAGGTTTTGTTTTTAATTTGAAATGAAAATTATCTATGGATGCGTGACGTAAGAGCACGGACTGTTGAAAAGTACCTCAGGAAGAAGAAACCTCCTAAATGTTCTCAGAGGTACCCTCAAGGAAAGAACATTGTGTCATAGATAAATACCCTATTTGAAACCATCAAATCTAAAACAGCCCATCAATACCAACTGCATGAGTCTATCATAGAAAGTATGGAGTAAAATAGAGTAAAATAGAAGAGTATAAACATTCTTATCTTCCTCTATGACTGGGCTATTGGCTACAAAATCTGACTTTGTGCCTTTCTCTAACATTTTTTCTTGACAGCCTATTAAGTAAAAATGATTCTCTCCTAGCAAACATAAGAACATGTAAAGCAGAAGATAACCAAAAGCTCATTTAGTACGACTCCTTACTTTTTCAGATAAAGAAACTGAGACTCACAAAGGTGGAAAGACCCTTCCAAGGTAACAGAGTGGCAAATTCAGGTTTCTATCTTCTCTGAGTCATCAATAACTCTTCTACATTTAATGATAATAACATAAGATTTTCATCATCATGATTTTTAGCGGTATAAAAATTTTATGTTTGGCAATAATAATGAAAGCCAAAGATCAGTTTAAGAACCACACTGTAAGATTCTCTAGTTTCCTTTTCTGAGCAAGAAAATCTACAGAATAAATAGTGCCATTATACCATGGAAACATTGTGGCATATAATTATATTTTCCCTGGAGCCTTTTGTGAAATTAGGTAGCAAGCCACCTCGTAGACAGGATGTGCTGCTGTAACTTCTATTTAAGCACAATTGACTGAACAAGTACTCACGTGACATTTCATTTTCTGTGTTAGTCACATCTTTCATGAAATTTATTTTCGACTTTTAGCTGAACACCAATGATGTCTTTCTTTTAACTAATTCCTTCTAAATGCTGCTATATTTTAATTAAAAGTGTCAGAAAGGAGTAGGGGGATTTCTATGAGTAGCTTACCAAAATACTAATTAAAATATTATTTATCGTTAAGTAAAAAGAAATACTGATTATATTACTAGATAAGGTACAAATTAAAACACAACTTTGAATTATATATATATATTTTTTTGGTGAGATAGATTAAATAGACAGACAAACAAGCAGACAGATGATAGATACAAAGGTAGATAGATAGGTAGGTAGGTAGATAGATAGATGACATCCCTGTTACCTGTAATAAATTCTGCCATGAGATTGCTTTTCTTTGCATTGGGGTTTACTTATAACATCTAAATTAAGACTGGATCTTGTGTCTTGGGGATCTGCCTTTCATGAAGTCACGAAATTAGTAAGAAAGTCCCCATGATAGACTCAACATCCCAACCTTTCTCTTTTGAAGATTTTAATGCCAGCAAAGAAAAAGTAAAGCATTTTTTTTAAAGGAAAAAGAAAGAAAAGAAGAAAGAAAAAAAGAGAGAATTATATTTTTAAGAAAATTAAAGGAGAAAATTTCTGATGGCATGTACACAGCTAATGCCACAGTGCAATAAAGATAAGTAAAATAGAAAAAGGAAAGTGATTTATTGTTAAATAGATTTTTTACTAAAATATGAAGTAAAATGGTTCTTGGTGATTTTGAAATTAATGTAAATTATAATGTTGACTCAGTTGTTTGAAATTAATATAGAAACCAAGTGTTCATCACAAAGAAGATCTATAGACAGGTGACAGTATGATCTGTGATATTTTAGAAAACTATATTAGCTTCAATTCTGGGATGGCTTTAAATAATTCATTATGTTGTTTTTTCGGTGTGTCATATTCTCATTTAAATATAACATAACAACTTGTCACAAGTCATGGTGTGGCATATTTCTGTACAATTCTTCAGTACCTAGTAGTTAAATAAAGCATATAATAAGGACCTTCATGGATACTACTGAAAAATTAATTTTGTAGATATTTATAGATTTCCTTTTCATCAAAATTGCTTATCTATAAAAAATAAACATACATTTTTCTTCTCAAAAGACTTGTTTAAAACTTTTTATTTGGGCTAACTTAGTTATCTTCATTTCTAGGAGCACAAGGCCTATCTATGACCGTCTAAATTTTTTCACTGATCTAATCCAAATAATGCACCCAAGGATTTGAAACCAAAAGGTTGTGCAATAAACTGTATATGTCATAATGGTTGAAAGTGTGAACTCAGGAGTTTGACTTATCTGTTAGCTGTGTGACTTTGGGAAAGTCACATGAGTCTTTAATTTTCTCATTTGTAAAATGGAGATGACAGTAGCCTTGTTTTAAGAATTAAATTATGGGAGTTGATTAGTATGAAGTGCTAAACACAATGTCTTACACAAGAACTACCACTCCACCCCATCATCCCAGTAGTAGTATTGGTACAATAGCAGTAGCAGCAAAAACAGAATTGCTACTGTCATTAATGCATTAAATTATATTTAATCTGATTCTCTCAAGACATTTACTGAAACCAATACCCAAGACTATAGTAAAAGGCTATAGGATCTCATGGCATATGCATCTCAACAGTGATTAAATGCTCACTGGGGATACAAAGACTTTATTTTTTTGTTGTTTTTTGTTGTTGTTGGTTTGTTTCATTTTTGAGATGGAGTCTTGCACTGTCACCCAGGCTGGAGTGCAGTGGCACAGTCCTGGCTCACTGCAACCTCCACCTCCCAGTTTCAAGCAATTCTCCTGTCTCAGCCTCCTGAGTAGCTGGGACTACAGGTGCACGCCACCATGCCCGGCTAATTTCTTTTGTTTTTTTTTCAGTAGAGACAGGGTTTCACCATGTTAGCCAGGATGGTCTCAATCTCCTGACCTCATGATCTGCCCACCTCTGCCTCTCAAAGTGCTGGGATTACATGCATGAGCCACAGCCCTGACCAAGACTTTGTAATAAGAGGATGTTATGTTGTTTACAATCCTAGTAATGCAGAGAACACAAATTTACTAATTATAATGCAAGAGAATCCTTCTAAAATATTAAAGTAGATGAATAACCAGTGAATTATGGGAGTGAACTTTGGAAGTACAGCTCTATCTATTCCCTTGTTTAAAGTATGTGGCTCCTTTTTCAATGATTTTCCTTCCTTTTGGGTTTCCTATTTTCCTTGTCTTCCATAGGCTTCCAACTAATGCCTGAGTAGAATCAAAGCAAGAAACATGATTAATCTAGTGACAGTATAGAATTCTAGCATGAATTTCTCCCCAAAACCATTTGACAGCTTTTTTGCATGCCCTGAAGCATGTTTCCTCAATTGAACTTTATGAAAAATGCAGAATGGTGAATCCAGGTTTTAAACTAAAGAACTAAACTCAAGACATCCAAAAGTATGGTTCACCCTGTCATGGAACTAGAACGTAAAATGTACGAGCCATTTCCTATTTATTCTGTTATAATTTACCATACAGAGAATACAGATATCCACATTTCTTTTCAATTAGAAGAGTCACAAATGAAATATCTATTTCATATTTTCAAAGATGTTTTCAAAGATGACTTAAAGATTTAGAAAAAAATTCTTAAATGGTAAATTGAGCTTCCAATTTATCACTTATAGAGTTGGAAAGGCTAGTAATAATAGTTTAACCATTATTCATCACCAAAATTCTACTAAATGTTATCTTATGAAAATTCATCACATCTGCATAGAAGATATATTAAAGAGAGTTCTGAGCTAGATATCAAGAAATCCAGGTTCTATTTCCCACTCAGCCACTAAGTGCATATCACTTCAGTTCTCTGGATTTCAGCTTCCATTACTGCAAAACAAAGTGTTGGTTTCTAAAGGCTCTTTCATACTATTAGGACTCAAACCCCAAGCTCTAATCCCTCCTGCAATTCCATCATAGGCTGTCACAGATTGATATGGACTCAACGGAAATCTCAGGTCAATTCTAGCCTCTCTTCCTCACTACACACCTTCCCTTTCCACTTTCTGCCAAAATGAAGCAAATGCATGCTAAATCTGGAGAGTAACTTAGCATTTATAGCCAAATTTTAAAAAAGGGCTGGCTTTTCTTACAATATCATATTTTATATATTATATATATCATATCAATGTATACAGCAATTATGACACTGGATCTTGGTATGTTTACAAGGATACGAATTTAACTGCACCAAAAACAGAATTATCTTCATACTCTTACCTTTCCTAGCAATTCATGTGGCAATAAGATAGGGCTGCAGTGATCAATATCTCAATCTACTTAAGGAAAAAAGCACATTATTTCAGACAGTGGGTATTGCCAGGTCATTACCACTGTTTAATGCAGAAAGCGGAGAGAGAAGCAAAAGATAAGCAGTTCATGGCTGCTACAGTATTTTGATCACAATGTCAAGTTTCTCTTTCCTTCAGAAGATAGACTTAAATATTTAACCACAACAAAAAGATGTGGTAGACAAAGATGGGGAAAATTTGAACAATACAAATCTACACTCCCTTCTTACCTAAGTTTTCAGCATACATAATATATTGGTGATCAAAGTTCTTTAAAATCTGCCTTTAAAATGACTGCCCTAACACTTCCTAATGAAATATTCAATCTCACATGCTGGAACACATAAATATTTTTAGAAGACTAAAGGAAAGGGAATGTAAAACAGTCTTTTAACAAAGGATAATTTAATGACACTTTTTCTAAACTTCCATCTCACCTATTCTGCCATAGTTAATAGAGGGAGAAAAGCAAAACGAAAAACACCTCCAGAAACGTGAAACAGCAAAATGAAAATAACTTCTCGATTTTGGAAATGCCACAGAGATACAAACCAACAAATGACTCTGTAAACATCCAGGGACAAACCATCATTAGTGGTGTCAGTCTTTGTGAATATAA